GCATCCAGCAGCAGAGAGACGGGGAAAAGAGTATACGAGAGAGAGGAGAAGGGAAGGAGGGCGGCGGTAGTTTGGGGCTTGGTTGCTGTGTCTATAAAGGTACAATACAATAAAGGAAATAAAGAATATAAATAATAATATTAAAAGAGGGAAAGAAGAAGATGATGAAGAGGAAGAAAGTAGAGAAAAGATGAATATCTATATATAAGCAGACAACATATATAATGCATGCTTTGCATGTATACATTTCAATATATACAAGCCCCAGACATCATTATGCAAGAAAGAAAGAAAAGAAGAAGAATGAATCATCATTTTGCATCATAAATTGAATTAAAATAATAAATAAAATAAAATTTACCTTTTTTTGTTCTTTTTGACGGTAAACACGGGGAGTAATACCTAATATAGTCGTCACCGGTGTTATATATAGCCTATAGGTGTGTTTATGCATTCTTTCTTTTCTTTCCTTTTCTCTTATTGAAGAAGTCTTTTTACTTTCTTATTTATTAAATTATATTCTAATTTATGATCAATTTATCCTGGAACAAAAGAAGAAAAAGAGGAGTGGCGTCAACAGCTTACCGCTTACCGTCTTGCTCAATCTGAGGTGCACATACACCCCAATTATTTTGCAGCTTTCTTCTAATCCATTCACAAGTAATTCACATCAATAAAAGGGGATTTTTTTTTATTTCTTTTTTCTTCTTTTTTCTTTTTCTTTTAATTAACAATGGCAAGTGAAATAGATGTAACAGAAGAAGCACAAAAAAGATTATGTAGATTTAGTTACCTTTCTCATTGTGTTACCAATATGGAGGAAAGAGCAGCAATTCTTAAGAAAAAAATTTCCTCTCTTACTGATGCAAGTGAAGAAGTTGAAGTTTCTTTTGTTGATGACGATCTATGGATACGTATTGGTAAGTATTTTTATTTCTTTTCTTTTATTCCTTTTCTCCTCTCCTTATTGCCTATTTAATTGTTATTCTACGCATTTTTATCATTTTATTCCTTTCTTTCTCCGTTTATTGCCTATTCACAAGTCATTTTCTTTTTCTTTTATCATTTTTTCCTCTTTTCCCTCCTCCTTTCCCTATTGATAAATTTTTTATCAATTTATTCCTTTTTCTTTTTTTGTGCCTTTTTCCTGGACATTTTATCCATTTTATCCTTTTTTTCCTATTTTGCTTGCCTATTTCCTCCTTATTTTATCTTTTTTTTTGTCATTTTATTCCTCCTTTCCTCTTTTTTGTTTATTTCCTCTATTAGAGGCAGCATTAATAAGAAGCATTATTATGCATATATTAATATTTAATTATGTCTTTCTTTCTAGCATTTTATTTCTTCTTTTTTTTCTTTCTTTTCTTTTATTTGTTAATATAAATACATGTATAAATATATATATAATAAATACATATTTATATTCTTTTCTTCCTCCTCCTCCTCCAACCATCAGGATTATTTCCCTCTTAATATACAATATTAATGAATTAATTTAATTGTATTTATTTATTTATTTATTTATTTATTTATTAATTTATTTATTTATATATATATAGGTGAAGGTTTTTATAAGAGAGACTCGTCTTATGTACAAGAAATACTAGAGAAAAGACAAGAAGAACATCGTAAAGAATTAAGAGAATTAGATCAACAAATTAATGAATATAAACAACAAATATTAACTCTTAAGACTCAATTATATGCAGAATTTGGTGATAAAGTTAGACTAGAAAAATAAATTTAATGCTGCTCCTACTGCTGCTGTTGATGCTCCTGTTGCTGCATGTGTAGGTGTATGGGTAAGTGTATTTGCAGCAGCAGCAGCAGCAGCAACAGCAGCAGGAAAAAGATCCGCAGCAGAAAGAAAAATAATTCAATTAATAGCAGTAATAGTAAGAGTAATAGCAATAGCTACTGCAGGAGGAACTGCTAATGCAGTAGCAATAGTTACTGCGACAGCAGCAGCAGCAGCAGCAACAGCAACAGCAGCAGCAACAGCAGCAGGAGGTGCAGCAAATTGCATCTTGCTACTGTTAGTTGCAAAGAGTATTACTGTATAAAGGGAGAAGAGAAAGAAAAAGAAGAAGAAACAAAGAAAACAGCGAATATAGATAAATATAAAGCGCATGCATTTTGCATGCATTTTTGCATGCATTTTGCATGCATTTTTGCATGCATAATGCATGCATAATGTATGCATAACAGGAAAAATAAATATAAATTAAAAAATTAAATAAATAAAACTTTTATTTATATTTAATTATGCACAGTTAATTATAATAATATATATATCCATTTGCTGTCTTATTATTTCATTTATATATAGAGTAGCTGGAGCAACAGCAACAGCAGCAGCAGCAGCAGCAGCAGCAGCAGCAGCAAATGCAGCAGAAGCAATCAAAGTATAGACAAGAGAGCAGCCCCATAGAGACAGTAAATATCTCTAAGGTTTGTCTTATTAGTTATGACTGTTTATATTTATTTATTAATATTAATA